CATGCCGCCCGCCAAGGCCGGCGGCAAGGAGGCGTTGGTGCTGCAGTGCGAGTGGGAGGTGTGCACCTACGTGGCCTCGAAGATGGAGGAGTTTTGCGAGCATGTGTCCCAGCACCTGCAGCGGCACGTTCCCGGGGAACACCGGGAAGAGATGGACCCTCTCGGTAAGGAGCTGGCAGCCTCGACCGCTGCGGCTCGTGAGCCCTCTCTCTTCTCTGAGATATGTCGTTGTGGGAGAGCCTTCCTCTCCCTGAGGAGAGCAGCGCTGCCTCTTGCAGGACTGGAATGTCATGAAAAACGCCCTGGTGTTTCTCTGTCTGCGAGATCCTGAGCTTTACTTGGAGAGTTTCCAACACACCATTATGGCTTGTATATCTCCTGTTTGTGTTGCAGAGGAATACACGTGTTTGTGGCAGTAATGCGGTTTCTGTTCCCCAGAGAGCTCAGCTGACCTCATTCGCCACGTCTATTTCCACTGCTACCACACCAAGCTGAAGCAGTGGGGTCTGCGGGCCCTGCAGAGCCAGTCAGATGTGAGCCATTGCCAGCTGGACTTCCAGAGCCGCAATATTATCCCTGAGATCCAGGAGAACTTTCTGTGTCTGTGGGAGTACTGTGAGGTGAGAACAGGGGACCCAGTTTTGTTTTCCTCTGTGTTACCTGTGATGGGGCGGCCAAGGGAAGGAGAGCTGCTTTTGTCCTGCAGCTCACCTGCATGCCTGCCTGTTGGCTGTGTTTGTACCTATGTGAAAGTGTCTGTTGTGCTCTGGCCGAGGCCAGCTCATGCTGATATTTTCACACTGTTCTGTCTGTCCCTGCTCCCCAACAGAGATCATTTGATAATCCCGAGTGGTTCTATCGGCATGTGGAGGATCACAGTTTCTGTTCGGAGTACAAGGCAGCAGGGAAGGAGAACCACGTGGTCCTCTGTGGCTGGAAAGGTTAGTGGGTGCGTGCAAGGTCTCTCTAGAGAGCTTTGCACAGGGCTGGATTGCAAATGTTCTGCAGGAGAACTCTGCACTCCTTGGCAGGGTTTCAGAGAGCCTCTTGCACTTCAAAAAATATGTGTGTGTGGTCCTAACAGTGAAATATTCCTGTAGAATTTCCTTCAGGGGATCCAGTTGAGTGCTTAATATTGAACTTTTCATTTATATTTAATTAATACCTAGAAGAAAAGGCTCCAGTTTAATTTTTTCAATAATTTTTCTCTTCTGCTTTTACAATTGCCTTACTGCTTGCAGTGAGGGGGCCATACCAGTTGTGCACTAGTGATCTCATCCTGCTGTGGCCCTGCTCTGTGGGCTTTTTGGATCAGGGAGTTGATCCTTGCTAGTCAAAACAGAAGCCTGCCATTCAGTCAGGCTGTGGGTCGCGGCCCATGTATGAAGGATCTTAATGGCGTTCTGTTGTTTCTGTTTAGACTGTGATTGCACCTTCAAGGGGCGCTGCAAACTGCGGGAGCACTTGCGCAGCCACACGCAGGAGAAGGTGGTGGCCTGCCCTACCTGCGGGGGGATGTTCGCCAACAACACCAAGTTCTTTGACCATATCCGCCGTCAGACTGCGTTGGACCGTAAGCTCCTGCGGGTGGGGGAGGAGCGGGTTGTGAGCAGTTCTCTGGCTGGGCCATTTGGTTTGCTAGAGCTGCCTGTTCTCTGCGAGCAAAGGCCAGAGGCGTGCTTGGAAACAGCCTGGCTTCTCTGATGACTGGGAACTCAGACGCTGATGAATCTCTGAGAAGCATCTTCTTGCAGAGGCAGGAGGGTTGGAGGCTGACAAGGCTGCACAGGGCTCGCACCGCTGCAGCCAGAGCTGTTCCTCCTGTAGGGACCCAGGACAGAAGTCAAAGGCAGCAGCTGGGCACTTGCAGCGGCACTGGGATTTGCTTGTTGAGTTCCCATGCGCTGTGCTGGCGGTGTGTGTCGTGTGACAGTTGCTCCTCAGTTCCTGCGCTGGCAGCACAAGGAGGCTGCGCGAAGGGGAGGCAGACTGGTCTTTTCAAGTGTGGTTTTTTTTTTGTTTTTTTTTTTTTGTTTCGCTTTGTAGTCAGTGTCATCTGTCTCTGCCTGGAGAGAAGGGTTCCCAGCTCCACTGTAACTGCCTCTTTTTCTCACTTGCTGCTCTTTGTGCTGTTCTCTCTGCTTTGATCTCTTTTCTCACCATCCCCTCCCCTTTCTCCCTGGCCCTGATGCTGCAGAGCAGAGGTTTCAGTGTTCTCACTGCTCCAAGAGGTTTGCCACAGAGAGGCTGCTCCGTGACCATATGAGGAACCACGGTGAGTAAAGGCCCCTTCTCCCAGCTGAGGCTCTGAAGACCGTGTGCTCTCCCCTGCTTTGTGGTAATGTTTTCCACCCATTCTTTCTCACAGTGAACCATTACAAGTGCCCTCTGTGTGACATGACCTGCCCGCTGCCCTCCTCCCTGCGCAATCACATTCGTTTTCGGCACAGTGAGGACCGGCCATTCAAGTGTGACTACTGTGACTACAGGTGAGGACCAGGGCTTTCCATCTTCCCAGACTGGTGACGAAGAAGCACCCAGAGGCATGTATGTGTGTGCACTACACAGCGTTCAGCTTTCTTCCCTTATCATTTTCTTTTAGCTGCAAGAATCTCATTGACTTGAGGAAACATCTGGACACGCACAGCAAAGAGCCAGCCTATCGCTGCGAGTTTGAGGCTTGCAGCTTCACTGCACGTTCCCTCTGCTCCATCAAACTGCACTATCGGAAAGTCCATGAGGTGGGAAGGGAGCGGAGGGCTGTTCTGCTGCGTACTCTCTCCCAATGAGGCTGAGAACCCCTAAGTGCCACATGCTGTACAGAAGCATGAGGCAAAAAGCTGAAGTCATGTGAAGTGCCCCAGGCTGACCAGGGCTGTAGGAATGTGAGGTCAGGTTACCTTCCTCTCTTACTGCTGCAATGATACCTCATGTCAGTCTTCTCAGAGAACCTGATTCCTCTTTCCATGCACATGTGTGGGTACCAGGCCCTCTGATCAGGCTCATAGGGTATTCACATCCCTCTCTCTGCCCTTCAGGGTGACTCGGAGCCCCGGTACAAGTGCCATGTCTGTGACAAGTGCTTCACACGTGGAAACAACCTCACTGTCCACCTCAGGAAGAAACACCAGTTCAAATGGCCCTCGGGGCATCCTCGCTTCAGGTACTGCCCATCCTTAGCTCCTTGCTACCTCCTCTCTAGTGCAAGAGACAGCTGGAGCTGCATCCTGCATCTTGCTGGAGCAGAGATCTGGCAGTGCTTGGGCTCTGGCGTTTGCCTGTGATGTGCTCAAGACCCATTTCCCAGTGGCTGGGAGGCACTGGACAGCAAGCATTTGGTGGGATCTGGCACAGGGACAGAGCAGTGCTGGGTGGCAGCTCCAGCAGTGGGTCAGAGATTAGGGGCAAGGGCAGCAGTGGTGCCAGCACAGCTGCATCTGGTGGGACACTTCTGAGCTTGGCAGGGGCCAGGTCCAGGTGTCCCACTCTAGAGAGAGCTGCTGCAGATCCATCTGTTGACAGATGCCTCTGCTGCATCCTCTGCAGGAAACTCCAAAGGGTTTCTGGAGCGTAAAAGCTGGGAGGGGAAGAGGATGGACTTCAGATGCTCCCAGTGAAACAGAGTGGTGGAAGGAGATGGGCTTGGGAGATAACAGTGGCCTGGCAGAAAGCTCAGAAGCTGCCACATGGATGGGCTTTTAGGGGTAGGGGCTGAAGGGTTTTTATCCTCCTTGCCCCGTATCATCCATGGAGCACTGGGCATTGGAACCTAGAGTATAGTGCCCCTTCCTTGGCTGCTGCTTCAGGCTGCTACCTGTCTCTTGGGAAGGGGCTGCAGTGTGACTGGCTCCATCATCCCCATTTATCTCTGCTCAGGTACAAGGAACATGAAGACGGCTACATGAGGCTGCAGCTGGTGCGTTACGAGAGCGTGGAGCTGACAGAGCAGCTGCTGAAGGATAGAGAGAAGCGGGGGGAGGCACTGGATGGCTCAACTGAGTGTGTGGTGCTGTCTGAGGGTGAGGGCAACCTGCAGGGCATCATTCTGGAGGCCCCGGCAGAGGCTCCCCTGGTGGAGAACAGTATCGCTGAGCTGCAAGTGGCCCCGCTGCGCCCAGCCCCTTGCTCTGCTGACAGCCCTGAGCCAGCACGGCCGAGTGCCTTCCCAGGAGCAGCGCTGTCGTCAGGGCAAGAACCCAGCACCCCGGCCAACCCCATCATCCGTGTGGTGAACCGCACCAATGAACATGGGGAGAATGAGACTGTGTATTATGTCATGGCCAACACATCCTCGGAGGAGCAGGTGGCAGCGCCTGGCGGGCTGGCTATGGAGCTGGAGGAGAATGTCATGGACCGTCTGCAGAAGACAGCTGAGGAGCTGGGCATCCAGATCGTGTGAGGTGCTCACCTGCCTCTACATGAGGAAGACTTGGGCCTCCATGGGCTGTGCCGGTGGGGGAGGTTGGGAAGTGCTTGGGGGAGAGGGCTGAGCTTATCTTTACCTACCTGCCACTGGCTGACTTCCCCTCTGCTGCCCGAGCCTCACTGGCTGCCGGTTCTGGTCAGCATGGGGAGAGGGGAAGGACAGGTCTCTCTCAGTTGTGGGTCAAGTGATCTGAGCTGGAAAGAGCTGTCTGTCTCCTCCTTTTGGGGATTAGGGACTAGCAAGCCTTTCCCACCCTTCCAGGAGGTTTGGCCTTAGCCTGACAGAGGCTTTCCCCTCTTGGTCGCTCACTGGTGATGTGGTCCCTGCTGCTGTGCAGCTAAGCTGTCAGCCCTTGCTGGGTCTGGTCCTCAGCTAGGATCTCCCCAGGCAGGACGGTGTGCTGAGCAGACACTGCGGCTGAAGCCTCTTCCCTGGGGATATGTGTGGCCCTTGGCAGGCCTGTTCTCCCCCATCCGTACTTTGTTCTCCGAGGGATGGCATGCTCTACTTCTGCCTTCATCAGCCCTTCCCTGCACATCATCTTTCCTAGGGTGTTCAGCTGGTGCTGTTGGTGGTGTTTGCACCACTGATCCCATTACACTGCACTGATCTCTGGGAGGAGAGGGCTGGAGGTGCTGTCCCTTGCAGGCTACTGCCGCCCTGCAGCACTGGGGGAGTGGGAGCTTCTTACTGCTTTTGTCCTTTCCTGGGTTTCCTCCCCACATTGGGGTTTGGGCTCCTGCTTGGGCAAAGTGTACTTTGGCAAGACAAATAAAAGTCAGACTGCCAGGCCAGCCAGTGTCTGGTGTCTGTTTCAGCCCCATGCCTGCCAGCCGTGGCCTGTTGGGGTGAGAGGACGAGACCAAATTGCCTAGAGCCTGCAGTGTGGGAGGTGGGCACCGAAAAGCTGCCAGGATCTCTTGACATGTCTTATGTGCTGCTGCTTGGTGCAGCTGGCAACTGCCCTGGAGGGTGTGGTGTTGTTCCACGTCCCCAAAGGTGGCACTGGAAGGCCACGTTTAGCTCTGGCACTCTGTTCCCTGCTGTCCTGATGCAGTTTGATTTTTGCTGCCTCCTTCAGGGCGTGAATGTCAGCTGCCTGCAATGTCACTTTTCGAATATAGAGAGTAGCCTGGGCTTGTGAGCAGAGCCAGCTTGCCCTTTGTCGAGTGACTTGGATGAGGACAGTGTGAAGCTGGTGTCCCTGGAGTGGCACTCGGGCCCTCACCGCCCTGCCCCTGCGTGTGGAGGTGATGTGCCCGGATGGGGGCAGGGAGGCACCCTGCTGATCTCCTGGGCTGGATGCTGATTTTTTTCCCCTCACTTCCTTTCTCAAGCAGTTCAGCAAAAGCAATTGGAATTCCAGGTTAATGGAGGAAATCACTTTATGCTAAACCCTTGGCCATCTGCTCGCTTTCTAATTACGAACACTGTGGGTGTGATTTGTGGCTGTGCCCTTGGGGTGGGGTGATGAGAGCAGCTCCTTAGGCCTGCACCCTGGGTGAGGGGCAGGATGCTCTGCAGTTGCCACGCACAGGGGCTGGGTGAGGAGCAGGGATGAAGTGGGCAGAGCTGCCCATTGCAGGCTGTGTGGGAAGGTTTCCTGGGGCTGGATGCATGTGTGAAGGTCAATGCACACCCCTGCACCCCAATGCTGCTCTCTCTAGGGACGAGCACACAGAGTGCCTCCCGTGGGCCAGTGAAATGCAGCTAGGGCCATGCGCTGGGCACCCTGTGCTCGGGGTGAGGCAGGGTAGGAGGCAGCTGGCTGTCCCAGCAGTCCTGCGTGCCCTGCAGGAGGATGCTGCTAGCTCTGGGGAGAGCATCCCTGAGCTGCTGGCATGCGATGCCCTGCCCCTCTCTGGCCCTTGCTCCCTGGTACTTGGCAGAGCTGGGCCAAGGATACCTTCGAGAGAAGGGCCTCCTGCCAGGTTTGCATTCGCAGCACTTCCAGCTTGGCCCTCTTTCCAACACGCAGGCCTCGGGGGTCTGCTGCCAGAGCCACGGCTGTGCCTGCGTTATCTTGGACTACGGCACTCCTGCACTCCATGAGTGCTAGGTGTTGGGAGTGGAGGCGAGGCTGTGGTGGCTGGGAGTTGTCCCTTTAAACACTGGGTCTGAGGAGTGTAATCTGCCAGAGATTATCTGCTGGGGAGAGGATTGGCATTAAAGGGAATGTCTCCTCCCTTCCCCCATGTCCTACAGCATCCCCTGTCCTGTGTGTATGGAAACCAAGTTCACTTTTTCCTGGGCAAGCAGAGAGGGGGCCTTTGATTTGAGGGGCAAGGGGGGGAGGGCAGACTGTGCGCTATGGGACTGGGCCTCCTCTTCCTCGCTGTGCTGGCCACGCTGGTCTCCTGCGAGGACCCAGAAGGTAACAGGGTGTTTGGGGGAAGAGGGGCTTACAGGGTGCCCCAGAGCTGCTGGCACCTGGCTGGACCGGTCTTCCCCAGCAGGGAGCAAGACCTTTGTCACGTCTCCCTGTGCCGAGGCTTGGCACAGGGGAAGCGGGAGCTGGCTTGCAGAAGAGCTGGGGGCTGCAAGTGGGTGCACTCCTCACCAGAGCAGGGGTCGGGGAGTGGGCTGAGATGAGCCTTCGCTGGGCTTGTACCACCTCCCTGCGGGCCTCTGAGGGCTGGGGAGCTGGCGGGAAGGGTGGTCCTCAGCCCCCTGCCCCAGCCCAGCCCTGTTATGCCTTGCTCCCTGCGGCACCAGGAGACCTGGATACTTACTGGTCTGGCACAGCACCCATCTGCCTGGGGGGCTGCAAGGGAAAGCACAAGGAGCTGAAGAGGAGCCAGTGCGGGAACGGCAGCTGCTGCTGGCTGGGCTACAAGTCCTTCTGCCGAGGTATGGAGGGGGGAGACTGGGGGGCCTGGGGATGGCTGCAAGGCTTGGCACAGCCAGCCTGGGGAGGGCAGGTTTTGTGCCATGCACACGTGCATGGAGTCTCTCCAGCAGCCTGGTCCTTGGGCCACGAGGGGATGCAGCCTGGGGCACCCACAGAGCCTGCCCGGCACCCACAGAGCCTGCCCAGCACCCACAGAGCCTGCCCAGTACCCTGGTCCTTGCCCAGGACTCACAACCTTGTCTGGGTGCATCCCCTTGGGCTGCCATTCTGCCGAGCAGGCTGCACAGGGTGCTAGCCCCATGCTGCCCACGGGAACCTCCCTGTCCCCAGTGAACTGCGGGCGACCCGAAGCGGACTTCAACTCGGTGGTGTACGGCAACGACTGGTGGGTTGGCTCAGTGGTGCGGTACAGCTGCCGGCCTGGATTCC